AACTTAATAAACAGCAGCTATTAATATAATTATTTCTTTCAGATGGCAGGGCTAAATTAAGAGACCAGGGGGTTGTAACACACTCGGAAGTCTCAGCTTTGACCTAAGCTAAGGCCACTCTGTGGTCTGAATTGGGCCTGGGTTTCTTAGACAGACTACTGAGTACCCTGGGCTCATAAGGCAAATTTGGGGGTCAACTGGCCAGGAGGTGATGTGTGCAAGTCAATTTGGGTTGCAATCAGTTATGTCTTTTTAGTTTGGAAGAAAAAGAGCCAAAACACACACTAGAGAGGCCGTGATGAGTTAGCCTGAATAATCAGGTCCAGGACCAGGTTCCCTGGGGAGAGGTTTCAGGAAGAGACTGCTGAGGCTGAACTCAAAAGAGACTTGCAACAAACAGCCCTACTGTGAAACCCACATGGCAAAGTGTGACCCCCCAAGGCGAGTCTTCCATTCACTTCTGCACCAGACCCAGTGCAACTTAATCAATGGGGATGCCAAGGAAAGGTACCAATGTCTGGGATACTGCACCCTGGATATGGGCATTTGCATCCTAGCAGGGAGCACCAGCAGAAGGGGAAGCAGTGGATGCTCTACCACTTTCTGATTCACAGGCAATGGGTATCACCAAGAAAGAAGGAATCGGAGAGAAAGAACTTAGCACACATCACCACATGGGGAATGAGATTTTTCCTAAATACATAAGGGACTCCTTGACAAAATTGGGAGGACTTTTCAGGGGCCCATTCAGGGGTCAGAACCCATAAAACAAAGGTGAATTTTGTTAATACGGTCCCAGGCTTAATCCCAACCTGGGGTGCCCTAGATAAATTCAGGCTCCACAACCTGTGTCTGGAATGAAACAGGCATCCATTCAACAGATGCTTTCAAGATGATGTACTTGTGAACACATGGGAAAATGTGAGCTATGCCAGTGCTCCAGGGTGGATCCATGACTAACTGAATGTACCTAAAAGGAGACTGTCACCCTGGCTACAAAATTAGAATTAACTGGAGAACTTCAATAACCACACTGATACCTCTGTTGAGTTTTACTTAATAAATCTGGAATAAGGACCGAGCTTGATGCTTTTGAACTGTGGTATTGGAGAAGACTCTTGAGAGTCCCTTGGACAGCAAGGAGATCCAACCAGTCCATCCTAAAGGAAATCAGGCCTGAATATTCCTTGGAAGGACTGACGCTGAAGTTAAAACTCCAATACTTTGGCCACCTGATGCAAAGAACTGACTCATTTGAAAAGACCCTGACGCTGGGAAAGATTGAAGGCAGGAGGAGAAGGGGACGATGGAGGAGGAGATGGTTGGATGGCATCACCGATTCAATGGACATGAGTTTGAGTATATTCCAGGAGTTGGTGATGGGCAGGAAGGCCTAGCAGGTGCTGCAGTCCATGGGGTCACAAAGAGTCAGACACAACTGAGTGACTGAACTGAACTGAACTGAAGGTCTGAGCTTTGGGTAGGTTATGTTATCATCACAGGTCATTCTCTTAAGAAGCCAGTTGAGAACCAACAGCCTGAAATGAAGTCCCCAGTCCATACTCTATCCCTAAATCTTGAAATTGGGAGAGATCACCAATGGGCTGGCTAACTGCATCCAGAAGCAACCAGACTGCAATACTCTGCTTGTCAAAGTAGTAAGTCTCTCAAACAGGTTCCCCATCACTGAACCTGTTTGAGACAATCACTGTTTACAGAGCACTTATCACATCTTGTCTTTACCATAGCATAGCACATATAGACACATAAAGAATAATGTTCAAAGAAGGCAAACGGCTTGCCTAAATTCACCCAAAACCATAGCAACCCAAAAGCCCAGCCCATTAAGCAGTACTGGGTGATAACCCAGCTGTTCCAACTCTAAAATCATTTCTCTGACTTGACAGTCCCATGGCTGTGTCTCCTGGGCCAAAGGATGCCCCACAGAGGAACCCTTCAGCGGAAAATGGGCCACAGGACCACAAAGGATGCTGCTGGCTCTCAATGCCTGTGCTGTCACTGAGGCCGAGGCTGCCCCAGTAATGCACCCTCCCCAGGGCCTGACTCCCGCCAAGGCATGCCCACTTCCTGAGGGCCTCGTCTCCGGAAGGAAATCCCAGTCATCATAAAAGGAAAATAAGGAAATAAAATCTTAATAGGATTTCATAGATGATATAAAATCTCTACAACTCTGTGTGACAGACAGTAAAAAAAAAAAAAAAAAGATCATTTAGAGAGAAAAAGCTTTCTAAGACTTCCTGTGGAATTGGTTGTCTCAAGAAGCTCGGATGGTGGTCATATATAATATGGTCAGTTCCAGCTGTCAGTGGGAGGCCGCGCCAACTGGGTCCAGGCTGAACGGACTGAGGGACCCAGACAGAATAACTTGGAACTTCAGACCTGGGCAGCTCGCAGTCATGAGATAATCCCCCAAACATAGAGTCTTGTCAGCCTGACGACCTCCCCACATTCTTCAAACCCTAGCTCAGCTACTACCTCTTCTGGTGTGTGCTGTGTGCTAAGTCACTTCAGTCATGTCTGACTCTTTGTGACCATAGGGACTGCAGCCCACCAGGCTCCTCTGTCCAAGGGGATTCTCCAGGCAAGAATACTGGAGTGGGTTGCCATGCCATCCTCCAGAGGATCTTCCCAACCCAAGGGCTGAACTCATTACTCTTACATTTCCTGCATCAGCAGGCAGGTTCTTTACCACTAGCACCACCCGAAAGCCTTCTCAAACCCCAAAAGACTAAAGCCTTCCACTTCTTTCCTGGGACATGCTTCTCTCATATAACGGTGTTTCTCAGAATGTGTCCATGGAACATGAGCACCAGTGTCAATGGTGGGGTGTCTGGTTAGAAACCGACTCCTGAGACCCAATCCTAGACCAGCTCTTTCAGACTCGCTGGGAGCAGAGCCCAGGCATCTGCATCTCTAACAGGCTCTATAGGTGTAGGTATCATTTCATCTGAGACCTGATGACCAGAAGGATCCTGCCAGGTGAAGATCTGGGAGCAGTGTGTTCCAGACACAAAGAGTGACCAATGCAAAGGTCTTGAGATGGAAAAAGAATTTGGACCAAACACCAAGAAAGCTGCATGGCCAGAGGGAAAGGTGTAAGGGCAAAAGCAATACAGGTTGACGGTGGAGATATATCAGGAGCCAGATCCAGGGGTGAAGTGGGGGGGGGGGGTGGAGTTTAGCCTATATTCTAAGTTTAATGGAAAGCCATTGAAAGGTTTTGTTGAAGGCGGAGTTATTGGTTAGTCCTAATTCTTTATTCCATTATAATAAACTATCTATCTGCACCTTTCTCATGGCCTCACGGTAATGAAGGTCACTTCCTGTCTCTTTGACCTTGAACTCGGCCACATGACTTGCTTTGAAGAATGGGACGGTGTTGGATATATTGGGAGCAAGGCTTGAAATGTTCTTGAATCTTTATGTCCTTGTTTTTTACCATCAGAAGAACATGCCTTCAGTGGCCACTGTCCCAAAGAGGACGAGAGACACACACAGTAGACCTGGACCCAACCTATAGTCTACAGCCAAATTCAGCCTAGATCAGCAGAGACTCAGCCAACCTTCACACACATGAGGAAATGCTTGTTGCTGTGTAGTGCGGAGTTTTAAGGTTAACTGTTATGCAGAACTACTGTGAAAGTAACTGCCTGATAAAGGCTTTAAGCAGAGGAGTGTTTTTATTTGATTTCTCTTTTGTAAATCACTCTGGTCACTATGCGGAGATGAGTTTGTGGAAGACATATGTAGAAACAGGAAAAAAATATTAGAAGCCTGTACTCTCCTGGGTAAGACTCTGCAGCAGGTCAGGCATTGATGGTTGTGGTGAGGTTCGAGACAATTAAATGGGTTCTGGATGAACCTGGGAGGTCGTAACAGACAGGACTTCCTAATGGACTGGATTTGGGGATGTCAGGTCAAGATAATATTAACCATTCTAGGAGGAACCACCATTTACAGTGTGCAACATGGCACACCTGGACAGAGTGAGGCAAACAGGAAAATAGGAGATAAGTATTTTCTAGATCTTTTGGCTTATGTGACTGGGTGGACAGTGGTATCGTTTAAACCAGAAGAAAACTGGTTAATGCAGGGGGATAACGGAGCCATGGGAAGGAAACCAGTAGGTCTGGTCTGGCTATGCTATATCTGAGATGTTCATTAGATGCCCAAAGGAAGGTGTAAGTGGGCAGTTGGAATTTTTGTTTGGAGCTCAGCAGATTGCTCAGGGCTGGAAGTGTAAATGAACAAACCAACATCTGACCTCAGTGTGACATGCATTTGCCCAGGCTGTTCCCTCTGTCCCCTCTTCACTGGCCACCGGGCTCCTATGTCTCCTTTAAGGTCCAGCCCAAAGTTCACCTTCAGGCAAAGCTGGCCACCTCTCCGTTCACAGAGTTCCTTGTAAATATCTCGAAGTAGCCTGCCTGCCCCAATAGCTCGCAAACTGAGAACCTTTGTATTCCCAGCACTGAACTGAATACTTGGCACACAGAAGATCCTCGAAGGTATCAGAATTCTTCCTTCAAGGCATTGGGTCGGGTACTTTGAGAAGCTACAGTCCACTTAAGCTTCTCAACAGAGCAGCAGGTGCAGCCACCATCCCATTTTTAAAGTCGGTAAGACTAAGGCCCCACAAGGGTAGTGGTGTGGTGGTTTAGTCACTAAATCATGTCCGACTCTTGCGACCCCAGGCACTATAGCCTTCCAGGCTCCTCTGCACATGATATTCTCCAGGGAAGAATACTGGAGTGGGTTGCCATTTCCTTCTTCAGGGGATCTTCCTGACCCAGGAATCGAGCCGGCGTCTCCTGCATTGCAGGTAGATTCTTTACCTACTGAGCTATGAGGGAAGCCCACAAGGGTAGAGTCGTGGCCAAAGGGTCTGCAAGGGGAAGAAACTGGATGTGTCTGATTCCGCCGCTTCCACGTTGCTCTGGCCCCAGGCCTGGCTCCCCATCACCTCTTCCCTCTTTCAGCTCCCTGGAAGCCAGCCTCCTGGCTGGCAAGGCTCCCACGCTGCCCGCGCCTCCACACAGGATGTGCTTCCTGAAGTTGCTGGTCCAGATGGCCGGCGGAAGCTGCTCCTCATAAATCACCAGGCCTCGCAGAGCTGCGCTCAGCCACTTTCTCCTCTCCCTCTCCCCAGGTCCCGGTGCGTGGGCCCCATCTGCGCCGTCAGCAGAACGGGCTCCTGCAGCCCCGGGAGCACGTCTGTGGTCACCCTCCCCACCGGGGCCAGGAGCCTCGGCAATGACTCCTAGGAGCTGATGAGAGAATGTTCAGAGGATCGTGAGGGACTGGGGTAGGGGTGGGGGGGATTCAGTGGAACGGGCAGGGGTCATGGAGAGAAGTGCTTGAAGCTTTGCTTCTGGGGGAGGTACAGGTACAAGGGGCTGTCTAAGCCACCTGCCAGCCCTCTGGTCCCCACTGGATGCTCAGACACCAAGACACCGAGAAGACATCATGTGATGGGGCAAATACATGCTTGGCATCATTGTTGTCGTTCAGTTGTTGTGTCCGACTCTGCGACCCCATAGACCGCAGCACTCCGGGCTTCCTGGTCCTTCACTCTCTCCTGGAGTTTGCTCACCCTCATGTCCACCGAGTTAATGATGTCATCCAACCATCTCATCCTCTGTCACCCCCTTCTCTTCCTGCCCTCCATCTTTCCCAGCATCAAGGTCTTTTCCAATGAATCAGTTCTTCGCATCAGATGGCCAAGGTATTGCACCACCTAGTTCCCCAAAGTATCCAAATCCAAATCAGCAGGCTCAGTGGCAACCCACTGAAAGGCCAACGCACCTTGGACAAGTCACTTCCTTTCCAGGAACTTCAGTTTTTTATTTTTAAATTGCAGGTAAGAGTACCTGCCTCACTGGCACTGCTATGATGTCAGAAGAGATTCCCGAGGTGAGTCCTCAGTAGGATGATGGTTGGGTGTAAGTGTGGGGCACCTCAGGGTGTTGTCCCATTCAAAACTGGGGCACAAATGAGGATGGTAGGGACTTGGTCTGACTGAGGTTTTCACAAAACCTCCTCCCTCTTTTCCATTATCTCCATGTCCCTGGAACACAGATTGACTTGCTATTTCACGTGTGTGCGTGCTCAGTCGCTCAGTTGTGTCCAACTCTTTGTGACCGCATGGACTGTAGCCCACCAGGCTCCTCTGTCCACGGAATTTTCCAAGCAAGAATACTGGAGTGGGTTGCCATTTCCTTCTCCAGTGGATCTTCCCAACCCAGGGATCAAACTCGCATCTCTTATGTCTCCTGCATTGGCAGGTGGGTTCTTTACCACTAACACCACTGCTGCCTAAAACCCCTCAGAGGTCTCACATCCCTTTTGGCAGTAATTCTCACCTTTTTAGTGTGTAACTTGCAAATCTTGAATTTGGGGTACCATCCTTTGCAAGTGTGGCAAAGTTGACTAGCTGCCCACCAAAGATGCCTGCTCCCTTGCCACAGTATGGAGTTGCTAGAGCCTGGTTGCCCAGCCAGGGTGACATTTTACAAGTTCTTCCCACACCTGGATGGAGCCAGGTGACTACTTTTCACCAATGGAGCATGAATGGAACATGAACAGCCCCCCTCCAGGCAGAGGTCTTTAAGAAGCAGGTTCCCCCATACTACCATCTCGTCTCCTATCTTCTAGCTGGAAGGACAGACTATGAAGACATGGTGGAGCCACACAATGGAAGGTGCTTCGATCCCTAAATGACTGTATAACAAAGCCCCAGCGCCACCAATCAAGAATTCATGTCTTTGGACTTTATTCCAAGGAAAGTTCTTTTAAGCTAATGAGGTTGTAGAGTTTATCTGTTATAGCAACTAATAAGACTTTAAGTAATATTGATACAAAGGGGTTAAAAGACTCAAAATAGCAGGAAACAAATCAATAATAATGATAATGTGATCATGGCTACCATGTAACAATATCTCACAGACTCTATAAAGACAAACATCTGACAGCTTAATGGGAGACTTTTCAGTACCATGTATCAGTTTGATTAGATTTGGTGCCCAGACCATACTTTCTTATATACTTATGGAGGAAAATTCTTAACTAGCTGTGAAATAGGTCTCTTTGCATCTTGTCACATGACACATCAACCCACTGATTTTCATCTGATCAGTTACCCTATCTATTCTCAGTCTATGGGTTCTACAAGGTGGCACCTAAGCCTAACCAATCAAAGTTTTTTATCTCCACTGGTGGCAGTGATCAGTTAAAGAGTAGACACATGATCTACATGAGTTCAATAATCAACCAAAGTAAATACCAAGACTTTGTGTGAGATGCTGGGACAAACATAGGTACTCTTTTCTTCTAGATTGAATCCTAGAAAGAGACTGGCCACCGTCTTGGAACCACAAGGAGAGAGCCTAAGGTATGTGCCAATATGGAAAAGCCAGGACAAAAGAGAAAGTAAGAGGGTCTTGATTACATCAGACCATGGTCTCTTTATGTAAATCAACAGTTCTCTTTTTCTCTAGCTCCAACTTGAAATGGATCTTATGACCTTTCTAACCAGAGTAATCCTACCTGGGTCTCAGATGGGCTACCCCTGGGAACCCACCTCTGAAGATTTGAAAACGACTGCAAGGAGAACCTCTGACCTGAAGGGTGCAGCATGGACTCAGAGTCCTGCACACCCAACTCCCTTTCCAGCACCTTCACCATCTCCATTCCCTGTCTTCACACCAACAATGCCAAATTCCCAGAAAACAGCGAGCCTCCTCACACCTGCTCATCTCTGCTATTTCTGTTTCCACTGCCCTCACTCACCACCTTTGCCCAAATATTATACTTTAGCCACCTGATGCAAAGAGCTGACTCATTGGAAAAGACCTGATGCTGGGAAAGATTGAAGGCGGGAGGAGAAGGGGACAACAGAGGATGAGATGGCTGGATGGCACCACCAACTCAATGGACATGCATTTGAGCAAGCTCCAGGAATTGGTCAAGGAGAAGGAAGGAAGACTGGTGTGCTGCAGTCTGTGGGATTCCAAAGGGTCAGACACACCTCAGCAACTGAACGACAACCGTCAGCCATCTTTTCGGCCTCCCTCAAACCTCACCTTCCCTGCGAGCTTTTCTCCAAACAACTTCTTCTTAATTAATCGAATTCACTTTCTCCGTCTTTCTGTTGTTGTTCAAATCTATGTTAGTTCTCTACCAAAATAAACCTGGCCTTTAAAAAAAAAAAAGTGCCCAGAGAGGGCTTGGCCCAGTTTCAGCATGAGGTCTCATAGAAACCACTTCAGGAAGGACACCCCCACAGACTTCCTGGGAAGCGGAGATTTAAGTGCATCTCAGAAGACCAGAGAGGAGTGAAGCGAAGGGGCATCACACACTCGTTCCCAAGGTCTGGGCCTGAGAAACACTCAGGCGAGGCCACTTGCTGAATAAATAATAATGATACCCACAGAGAGGAAGCCTTTTATTCAGGAGGAAGCTTGACTCAGGCCCTCTGCCCTCATCTCCTCCTGTTCTCCACCGTATACCCCACCCCTTCAACCACATGGCCTCTTTGCAGTTCCTCAAGCAACCAGGCCAGCTCCCACTTCAAGACCTGTAGTGGTTATTTATCGCTGTATAATGAATCAACACAGTTTTAGCTGCTTAAAAAATTTTTTTGATCTCACAGAGTTCCTGTGGAACAGGAGTCTGGGAGCGACTTAGCCAAGAGGTTCCGCTTTGAAGTGTTTCATGAGAGAGTATTCAGGCGTCAGTGAGGCCACAGCCATCTAAAAAGACTGAGGGACTTCCCTGTTGGTCCAGTGGTTGAGACTCCTCTCTGCCACTGCAGCGGGGCACAGGTTCAATCCCTGATTGGGAAACGAAGATCCTACATGCTGTGAGGTACAGCCAAAAAAATAATAAAAAAAAATTTTTTTAATAATAAAAATTAAAGGCTATAGGATCTGCTTCCAAGGTGGCTTACTCATGGCCCTGCAAATTAATGCTGGTTGTTGACAGGAGGCCTCAGTTCCTCCCCACAGGGACCTCTCCACAGGGCTGCTTGCGTATCCTCACAAGATGGCGGCTGGGGCCAGTGCGCCAAGAGAAAGCAGGGCCAGAAGTGTCATCTCTTTGGCGTCTCAGCCATGGAAGTCCCATTTCCCCATCCTCACAAGATGGCGGCTGGGGCCAGTGCGCCAAGAGAAAGCAGGGCCAGAAGTGTCATCTCTTTGGCGTCTCAGCCATGGAAGTCCCATTTCCCCATCCTCACAAGATGGCGGCTGGGGCCAGTGCGCCAAGAGAAAGCAGGGCCAGAAGTGTCATCTCTTTGGCGTCTCAGCCATGGAAGTCACATTTCCCCACCCTCACAAGGTGGCGGCCGGGACCTGTGATCCAAGAGAAAGCAAAGCCCCAACTGTCGTCTCTTTGGTGTCTCAGCCGTGGAAGTCCCACTTCCCCATCCTCACAAGATGGCGGCCGGGACCTGTGATGCAAGAGAAAGCAAGGCCCCAACTGTCGTCTCTTTGGCGTCTCAGCCATGGAAGTCCCACTTCCCCCATCTCCTGTTAATTACACAAGTCAGCTCTATTCAGTGTAGGAGGGGACTGTACAAAGGTGTGAATACTTGGGTCCCTGGGGTTCCTCTTGGAGGCTGGTTACCACTAAGACTTTGCAGTTATTTTCTCCAACTGGCATGTTCTTTTCCCAAATGTCCCATCGCCCATGGCTTGCTCTTTTTTCTGCTTCAAACCTTTGCTCAAATGTCACTTTTTCAAAGAGACCAGACAAATCTACAGCTCTTTCTCCCACCTCATAAGATCCCCTAATTGCCTATTTCCTTTCTTTACTGAGTTTTCTTTATAGCACTCATAATAACTAAATATATATATATATATATATATTCTTTTTGTTTTTTGTTTTAATTTTAGACTTATAGAAAAGCAGCAAAAATAATAGAGTTCTCATATTCGCTAACCCAGTTTCCCCTAATAGTCATTCCAGTTGCTTTTTGTTGCTGTTTGGGTTTCTCTCTTTCTCTCTCTCTCTTCCCCCATTTTGAAGCTCCATGAGAGCAGAGATTTCTATTTTGTTCACTGATGTATTTCTAGTGCCCAAAACATTGCCTCACTCCCAGTAAATATTCAATGTAATATTCACTGTAATTTATTAACTCCCAGTAAATAAATGTGTATTGGATGAATGAAGAGACTAGGCTAGTAACTCAAAGAAAAGCCAACACTGGACTTTTGACCTTAAAGTTCATAACCACTGAGGGTGTTTAGCTCTGGCTGATCCATAG